CATGCTGTTTGCGGTTGGTATCTGTCAGTATAGTAAGTTGTGCAGGTTTTTTTTTTGGGGGGGGCGCCTTCACCTGCCTATTTGGGTTTTCTTTGCCATTTACCTAGGCTCTAGGCGACTCGAACCCGGGACTCCCACGCGGGTGAGGCAGAAGCTCATATCGGTCTTCCGGGTATGCTTTTGCTTGTCGGGGTATTGTATAATACCTTTGCCAATGTCTTTTTTATATTAGTCTATTCCGTGGATTCATTTGTCTTCTTCAAATTTCCACAAAAAAAGCTAAATTTCTACCTTGCAAAGAATTTGCATTTTTGATCAGAGGTGAATACAATTGAAGAAAAGACCCTGCTACAGGTAGTGTGGCTCCGTGGCAGGCCAGGTGTGTGGCTCCGTGGCAGGCCAGGTGTGTGGCTCCGTGGCAGGCCAGGTGTGTGGCTCCGTGGCAGGCCAGGTGTGGCTCCGTGGCAGGCCAGGTGTGGCTCCATGTCAGGCTAGGTGTGGCTCCGTGGCAGGCCAGGTGTGTGGCTCCGTGGCAGGCCAGGTGTGGCTCCGTGGCAGGCCAGGTGTGTGGCTCCGTGGCAGGCCAGGTGTGGATCCATGTCAGGCCAGGTGTGGCTCCATGTCAGGCTAGGTGTGGCTCCGTGGCAGGCCAGGTGTGTGGTTCCGTGGCAGGCCAGGTGTGTGGCTCTGTGGCAGGCCAGGTGTGTGGCTCTGTGGCAGGCCAGGTGTGGCTCCGTGGCAGGCCAGGTGTGGCTCCGTGGCAGGCCAGGTGTGGCTCCATGTCAGGCTAGGTGTGGCTCCGTGGCAGGCCAGGTGTGTGGCTCCGTGGCAGGCCAGGTGTGGCTCCGTGGCAGGCCAGGTGTGGCTCCGTGGCAGGCCAGGTGTGGCTCCGTGGCAGGCCAGGTGTGTGGCTCCGTGGCAGGCCAGGCGTGACTCCGTGTCAGGCCAGGTGTGTGGCTCCGTGGCAGGCCAGGTGTGGTAAGAGTCACCTGATGATGAAGATAAAGCCACCCAAAAGGTGATTACTTGCACGGGCATGATTAACCCGTACAAGAGTCACCTACAAGCATCAGGTGGATATAAAGCGAAGCTTAAGCTTAAACTAGGAACAGGTAACGACCTGTCTTCGTTGGCATCTCAGAATTTTTTTAGAAGCGAGGTGGTTTTCTGTAATAGACCCACGAGAAGGAATCGAGTTAATGGAGGTCCAGAGGCGTTAACAAAAAAAATATATTGATAGTCGATATAATGACTCAAGACGCAGGAAATAGCTTGCCCGTCCGGCTTCAAAGATTTTCTCGTGTCCAGATGCTAGTCTTTACAACATAAAGTGCCGCAGCTTAGAACCTTTTCTCTCCCGGACAGATCGAATGGGACGTGCCACAACACCTGGTGATGGTCAAGAGGCTGCCGAACGTTCTCTCAGCCTCCGACAACGCCACCGTCACCTCCACCATCACCCTCGTCTACAACGTAACCCAGGAGACCCTGGTCGCTGCCTCGTCACCTCCCACAGCGTATATGAGGCGGCCGTCCGTCGTCCCACGCCGGCCGCTCTCCTGCCTAGCTCAGAACGATAGATTCCTCAGCGTGGAGGAAACAGACATTAGTAAGTTAGAACCCTCATCACGGCCCTTGGGGATTTGTTCAAGTGCTTACGTTTCTGCATGATACTAAGGTCAAGCATTCGAAACCCTTCTCTGTAATGGTTTCATGCAAACAGTCACTTGGTTTCAAGACAAATTTGACATTTTATTGATTTAGAAATGCATTAAAATACGTATATTTTGGTCATAATTTTCATGTAGCATTATACAATCATAACTAACTTGGCTTTGGTGGGTGTGTGGGTTATCAGGAATAGAATCAGACGTACAGGCCAAGCCAAGGATCTGCTGGACGGAATTTAAGCGAGATTCCACTAGAGAAAGGTTCTACTTCAAGGCGCAGGCGGCGCCAAACTTCACCCTGGGCTGGTGGTTCAGCCCGTGTCCGAGCTTCAGCGGCGGTGACTTCGACGGGAAGCAGCTCAGTTACTACGTTGATACCATGGCTCAGAGGTCCTCGTACATAGAAGGTGAGGGAGACGGAACACTCATTTTCCTTACACTCGTTCATAACAAGGGGTTGGGGGGAGGGGGAAGGGGAATCCACTTAATGAGCATGAGAGGAAAATTTGTAAAGGGAAAAAAAAAGAGAGCAAAATAATTTGTCTTGACAAAATATGGCGAGGTCTTTTGTAAGTGGTGTCACCGGCGCACCCGAGGCCTGGGACAGTAGACCCGAGGCTTGGGACAGCAGCGAGGGGACAGAAGAAGACAGGGTTTTCGGGTTGACATGTCTCTCTCTGACACTAATGATGTTCCTCCTACTATGTAGTTTAATTTTATTTTTACACTTTTTGTCCCTCCAGGATAATCATATTGTACTTGATTTCCAATCTTCAGGGTGCTTAATCTTCTAGTTTAAGGGCACATAATGTCCTAACTTTAGAGGCAATTAATGTCCAATTTATCAAGGTGATTAATCTCCTATTTTCAATATATTTAATCTATTTTTCTCAATCTGTCAACTAAGTTCGGTTCTTATCTCCCTCTCAACAAACCTTCCTCAAAGCTTACCTACTATGCTTAGGTTAAAGATTTTTTAGGCAAGCGTCTCTTCTGAGTACATTAACGTTGCCTGGGCCTCCCATTCTTTTGTCTAAGTTATAGCTGTCTTAACCTGCTTCCGTTTCTACAGTAAGACTGTTTCATCTTAACCTTTTGATGCAGTTTGCATTCATGTTCCTTTTGACTTCAACTTCCCTCACGGCTTCAAGACGCTGTCTCTCAAGCTTGTGACGTCCTTTCTGCAGGGTACCTGATCTTCCCGGACACCACCGGAGGAGCCAAACGAGGGGACTACGAACTCAAAGTTACCAACCAGTTCGGCGCAGCCAGCCAGTCCGTGCATTTCTCCCGGCGCCGACTCAACACCCAACCCTGCAACACCTCCATCGGGTTCGAAATCTTCCCCGATGAGCGGTGGTTCCCTCAGACACCAGCGGCCTCCTCTCCGTCCCTTCTACCCCTCACGCCTTGCCTCCTACCCTCCACGACCACTGCACCAACTTCGACGACTACCACCACGACTGCTGCCAGCACCGCAACCTCTGCCATCACCGTCGCACTGTCCGGGTCTTCCATCGCGACAGCGAATATTACCTTATCGCCTCCTGAACTGACTGTCGAGTCTTCGACTTCAGCTCTGCCTCCCTCAACTAAACTTTTTCCTCTGTCGATAACGGTGAGTCTGTACCCTATTCTTGTTCTATTTTCGTTCTTGTTATACTATTCTGAAATGTAGGATTATGAGGAGCTATCTATGTTACATATATAAATTAGATTTATGATCTATAAGCTGCAAATTTTTTTAGATGTTCAAAGAACCATAATGAATACTCGATAAATTTTGGGGCCCTACTCAACAAGATAGCAATGATCGTTGGCAGTATTGTGACCAAGCCATGACCCCATATTGACCAAGCCATAACCCCATATTGACCAAGCCATGATCGTATTTTGACCAAGCCATGACCGCATTTTTTGACCAAGCCATGACCGCATTTTTTGACCAAGCCATGACCGCATTTTTTGACCAAGCCATGACCGCATTTTTTTACCAAGCCATGACCGCATTTTTTGACCAAGCCATGACCGTATTTTTTGACCATGTCTTGACCAAGTCCTTCACCTTACCTCTTGCAGCTGACGATCGGGGCGTGTGTGGTGGTCATCGTCATCGGAGCGATTCTCCTGCTGCTTCGTAACCTGCGACGTGGACACACTCGCCCCCACCCGGACGCTGACCCGTGCCCCGACTCCCCCTTCCAGATCACCTTCATGTAAGTGTCTCGTCCGGGGTCGCAGGTCTTAACCGAGGTCACAGGTCTTAACCGAGGTCAGAGGTCTTAACCGAGGTTATAGGTTTTAACCGAGGTCGCAGGTCTTAACCGAGGTCGCAGGTCTTAACCGAGGTCACAGGTCTTAACCGAGGTCACAGGTCTTACCCGAGGTCACAGGTCTAAACCGAGGTCACAGGTCTTAACCGAGGTCACAGGTCGTAACCGAGGTCACAGGTCTTAACCGAGGTCACAGGTCTTAACCGAGGTCACAGGTCGTAACCGGGGTCACAGGTCTTAACCGAGGTCACAGCTCTTACCCGAGGTCACATGTCTTAACCGAGGTCGCAGGTCTTACCCGAGGTCACAGGTCTTAACCGAGGTTACAGGTCTTAACCGAGGTCACAGGTCTTAACCGAGGTCACAGGTCTTAACCGAGGTCACAGGTCTTAACCGAGGTCACAGGTCTTAACCCGAGGTCACAGGTCTTAACAGAGGTCGCAAGCGCGTTAACCGAGGTGGTCAATTAAACACGTTAACCGAGATTACTACAAGTGCATTAAGAGACATCACTATAGCGTGTTAAGTAGCATTCATTACGAGGTCATTAACCCCGTATACTCGCTCGTAAACTGAGAGTACGAGAGCGTTATGTCAGGTATACATTTCGTCACAAACCTTACCACTATCAACTGCCTCAACTATGCTGGAATTAAGTGATGAGCTAATTTGTTAAACATGAACGGCCGTTAGTAAAACCATGTTGTGAATCAATTATTAATCTGAGTTTTTCAAGATGAAGACGAATGGCATTTGCAATTATCGATTCAAGCAACTTTACCACAATAGATGTTAAGCTAATTGGCCAATAGTTTGACGCAAGTGATCTATCTCCTTTCTTGAAAATTGGTACCACATTAGACATACATATATATATATATATATATATATATATATATATATATATATATATATATATATATATATATATGCGAACAAGCCTGAATGGTCCCCAGGACATATGCAACTGAAAACTCACACCCCAGAAGTGACTCGAACCCATACTCCCAGAAGCAACGCAACTGGTATGTACAAGACGCCTTAATCCACTTGACCATCACGACCGGACATAATGAGGTGATAGCCGAGGCTATATGAACCACCCCACCGCCGGCACTCGGATAGTTATCTTGGGCATAGCATTTTACCAAATCACCTCATTCTTTGGGGCACACGTGAGGAACACAAATGCGAACAAGCCTGAATGGTCCCCAGGACATATGCAACTGAAAACTCACACCCCAGAAGTGACTCGAACCCATACTCCCAGAAGCAACGCAACTGGTATGTACAAGACGCCTTAATCCACTTGACCATCACGACCGGACATAAGGTGAGGTGAGGTGATTTGGTAAAATGCTATGCCCAAGATAACTATCCGAGTGCCGGCGGTGGGGTGGTTCATATAGCCTCGGCTATCACCTCATTATGTCCGGTCGTGATGGTCAAGTGGATTAAGGCGTCTTGTACATACCAGTTGCGTTGCTTCTGGGAGTATGGGTTCGAGTCACTTCTGGGGTGTGAGTTTTCAGTTGCATATGTCCTGGGGACCATTCAGGCTTGTTCGCATTTGTGTTCCTCACGTGTGCCCCAAAGAATGAGGTGATTTGGTAAAATGCTATGCCCAAGATAACTATCCGAGTGCCGGCGGTGGGGTGGTTCATATAGCCTCGGCTATCACCTCATTATGTCCGGTCGTGATGGTCAAGTGGATTAAGGCGTCTTGTACATACCAGTTGCGTTGCTTCTGGGAGTATGGGTTCGAGTCACTTCTGGGGTGTGAGTTTTCAGTTATATATATATATATATATATATATATATATATATATATATATATATATATATATATATATATATATATATATATATATATAACTGAAAACTCACACCCCAGAAGTGACTCGAACCCATACTCCCAGGAGCAAACGCAACTGGTATGTACAAGACGCCTTAATCCACTTGACCATCACGACCGGACATAATGAGGTGATAGCCGAGGCTATTTGAACCACCCCACCGCCGGCACTCGGATAGTAATCTTGGGCATAGCATTTTACCAAATCACCTCATTCTTTGGGGCACACGTGAGGAACACAAATGCGAACAAGCCTGAATGGTCCCCAGGACAATATGCAACTGAAAACTCACACCCCAGAAGTGACTCGAACCCATACTCCCAGGAGCAAACGCAACTGGTATGTACAAGACGCCTTAATCCACTTGACCATCACGACCGGACATAATGAGGTGATAGCCGAGGCTATTTGAACCACCCCACCGCCGGCACTCGGATAGTAATCTTGGGCATAGCATTTACCAAATCACCTCATTCTTTGGGGCACACGTGAGGAACACAAATGCGAACAAGCCTGAATGGTCCCCAGGACAATATGCAACTGAAAACTCACACCCCAGAAGTGACTCGAACCCATACTCCCAGGAGCAAACGCAACTGGTATGTACAAGACGCCTTAATCCACTTGACCATCACGACCGGACATAATGAGGTGATAGCCGAGGCTATTTGAACCACCCCACCGCCGGCACTCGGATAGTAATCTTGGGCATAGCATTTTACCAAATCACCTCATTCTTTGGGGCACACGTGAGGAACACAAATGCGAACAAGCCTGAATGGTCCCCAGGACAATATGCAACTGAAAACTCACACCCAGAAGTGACTCGAACCCATACTCCCAGGAGCAAACGCAACTGGTATGTACAAGACGCCTTAATCCACTTGACCATCACGACCGGACATAATGAGGTGATAGCCGAGGCTATTTGAACCACCCCACCGCCGGCACTCGGATAGTAATCTTGGGCATAGCATTTTACCAAATCACCTCATTCTTTGGGGCACACGTGAGGAACACAAATGCGAACAAGCCTGAATGGTCCCCAGGACAATATGCAACTGAAAACTCACACCCCAGAAGTGACTCGAACCCATACTCCCAGGAGCAAACGCAACTGGTATGTACAAGACGCCTTAATCCACTTGACCATCACGACCGGACATAATGAGGTGATAGCCGAGGCTATTTGAACCACCCCACCGCCGGCACTCGGATAGTAATCTTGGGCATAGCATTTTACCAAATCACCTCATTCTTTGGGGCACACGTGAGGAACACAAATGCGAACAAGCCTGAATGGTCCCCAGGACAATATGCAACTGAAAACTCACACCCCAGAAGTGACTCGAACCCATACTCCCAGGAGCAAACGCAACTGGTATGTACAAGACGCCTTAATCCACTTGACCATCACGACCGGACATAATGAGGTGATAGCCGAGGCTATTTGAACCACCCCACCGCCGGCACTCGGATAGTAATCTTGGGCATAGCATTTTACCAAATCACCTCATTCTTTGGGGCACACGTGAGGAACACAAATGCGAACAAGCCTGAATGGTCCCCAGGACAATACGCAACTGAAATTGCGTTTGCTCCTGGGAGTATGGGTTCGAGTCACTTCTGGGGTGTGAGTTTTCAGTTGCATATTGTCCTGGGGACCATTCAGGCTTGTTCGCATTTGTGTTCCTCACGTGTGCCCCAAAGAATGAGGTGATTTGGTAAAATGCTATGCCCAAGATTACTATCCGAGTGCCGGCGGTGGGGTGGTTCAAATAGCCTCGGCTATCACCTCATTATGTCCGGTCGTGATGGTCAAGTGGATTAAGGCTCTTGTACATACCAGTTGCGTTTGCTCCTGGGAGTATGGGTTCGAGTCACTTCTGGGGTGTGAGTTTTCAGTTGCATATTGTCCTGGGGACCATTCAGGCTTGTTCGCATATATATATATATATATATATATATATATATATATATATATATGTTTCATTGAATATGACCGGTCATATTCAATGAAACATGTTTGAAAGAAAACCTGCTCCAGTATACACCAATATATATATATATATATATATATATATATATATATATATATATATATATATATAAATGGGAGTTGGTGGATATAAATAGAGCCAAATATAAATTTGGTGAATATATGGGCAAAACGCCTTCTGCAGTTACCTTAATTCTTATATTCTTATTAACTAAAATTACATTTGTTATATATATATAAATGTGTATATCAATATTTCGGAAGCTTTCACTTCGGATTAAGACCGGTAGCTAGAGACCAACCAATTCGCAGAGTGGAGTCGGATGGTAGAGAGAGAGAGAGAGAGAGAGAGAGAGAGAGAGAGAGAGAGAGAGAGAGAGTGAATGAGTTAATTATTCCTGTATTTACACGTAGGAAGAGCATAAAAATAAAGATAACGGTAGAATGCCCATTGCCTCATGCAAGGTAACTCCAATTTATACTCGAACTTGTATTTACACACAGCGGACCTCATCAAAGACGAGTGCTTTTGCTGTGAGAGGAGTTTTAGGTCTTTTGTGGAGAGGGAGAGAGAGAGAGAGATTGAGTCTGCGAGAAAGAGTCTGCCCGAAACGCTGCGCGTACTAGTGGCTTTACAAGATTGTAAATACTATGCTATGTATTCTCACAAACCCAATGTACTTTCTTGCATATAAAAAATAAATAAATCAATAAATAAATAAATAAGAGAGAGAGAGAAAACAAAGAGGGGGGAGGGGAAGAGCTGGAGAAACGAGTTTCCTTGTGTGGTGCAGGATTTGTAAGATAGTGTGGATGGGTGATGTGTAGAGGAGAGTCAAAGGGACTCTACTGGAAAAGAGAGGAGCAGTCCTTCTTGGTGAGCAACTGAGAGTCTGTTGTTGTTGCTGTTTGCTCTGGGGTCAAATTCACGAAAGCACTTACGCAAGCACTTACGAACGTGTACATCTTTCCTCAATCTTTGACGGCTCTGATAACATTTATTAAACAGTTTACAAGCATGAAAACTTCCCATTCAACTGTTGTTATTGTTATAAACAACCTCCTGGTGCTTCGGAGCTCATTAACTGTTTAATAATTGTAAACAAAGCCTCCAAAGATTGACAAAAGATGTACAGGTTCGTAAGTGTTTGCACAAGTGTTTTCGTGAATCTGGCCCCTGGTGTTCTAGCTAAGCTGAAGTGGGCTCTGACTTCTGTTTATTCTGAAGTGGGTTCTGATGTTCTAGTTAGGCAGAAATGGATTCTGTGTTCTAGCTAGATTGAAATGGGCTATGGTGTTCTAATTAGGCTGAAATGGGCACTGTGTTGAAGCTAGGCTGAAGTGGGTGCTTGTGTTCTGACTAGCCTGAAGTGGGCTTCGTTCTCTAGAGTGGGCTCCAGTGTTCTAACTAAGCTGAAGTAGGCTCTTTGTTCTAGCTAAGCTGAAGTTCGCTCGGTGTTCTAGCTAAGATGAACACAAAGTCCACTTCATTCAGAATTTGAGAATTTAATGAAAATTGATTAGAGGTATTTAAAAATAATATTGAATCAAAATCTTTATATTTTGTTCAGTTTTGCTGTTATTGTTATAATCAGTCAGACTGCAGAAGAGATACCAATAAGAATTTAAATAAGATATTAGTTTTTTATAATAAAATATCTATGTTTCATAAAAATACTCTCAGAGGTTGGTGAAACAGAGACCAAGAGCTGAAGCTCGATCATGCACACACAAATAGATAAATATATATATATTATATATATATATATATATATATATATATATATATATATATATATATATATATATATATATATATATATATATATATAGGTGAGCATATCAGACGAACATTGGCTAATAGGAGGAAGAGAAGGAGAGGCTACATAGGCGAATTTAAGGAATAGGACAAACAGAGGAAGCAGTTAAAATTGACTAGATGTTTATGGTTTTCATGAGTGAATAAGTGCCTGAAACCTATGCTTCCTATATATCAAATCCTTCCCATATATATCATCCCATATACCACATCCTTTCCATATATCTTATCCTTCCCCCTTCCATATCCTTACCCATGTCATAGCTACTAACCCTTGTAAATAAATATTAGAAGCCCTTTAGATGCTAAACTAATAAACTTTTTCACTGCTAAACCTTTACTGTTCCATTTCCTGTAGTCTATCTTTCCCTTAATTAAAACTCAGCCTTTTCTCCCTAATTTATATATTTCCTTTCACACAATTGTAATTTTTCCCTAGATTCAAAATTTAGGAAAATGATGGCCAGTAATAACTCTCACAAAGGTCAATGATTCTTAACTTTCACATCTGTTGTATTATTAACATTCTATTTGTTTTATTTGAGACTTTAATGAAGTCTATGTGAATGTATTCGTTCCCCCCCTACAATTACACTCAGAATATCCTTATATCCTGAAGATCAGGGTTATATCCTGACACCATTAGTGCCTCGTCCACTAATCCTGACTCCACATCCTGACACCATCCTTGACCTAATATTAATACCACTAGATAACCCGTCCTCATGCAAAATGCATCAATACATCATATTTATACCTTATGGTAATTTTCAAGAGAAAGCACAGAGCCAGTTTGACTCTATAGCTATTTAGAAAGGATACGAGGGTAGACTGAGCTGAAATATGAGGACGGAATGGTTCCCCTTCCCTCCCCCAACTATTCCCTCATTTCGTCCTCATGGTTCAAGTGTTGTTACAGTGCTTAGTGTATAGTGATGCGTGCTGGCTTAGAATCCATTTCGCAGGGGATAGTGAAGGGTCCAATGGTGTTGATTCGGTGTTAGCGAATATAGTGAAGCTATATGTCATATCATGAGGATGGGTTTGTTATTCGCAATTCATTCAACAATCCTTCAATACTGTCCTGTAAAACTCTCCTTTCCCTCTCCCCCAAAACACACACACACACACACACACACACACACACACACACTACTCATATCTAACTAGCCACACACACACACATTTCTTTACCCTCGTACTATCCACACGCTACACACACCCCCTCTATCTTTGACCCAGGCTTCGTCCTGTGGGAGGAAGAGGACGCTGTAGCCAACCCAGCATCCTCGACCAAGCCACACCATACCCTTCACTATCCCCTCGCCACACCCACTCCTCCTATCCTTGACCCTGGCCCGGCCCTGTGGATAGAGGAGGTTGTAATAGAAGCAGTGGGTGCCTGTGCAGAGACGAGGACTGCCAGAAGAAGAGTGACGGACTCCAGCTACAGGAGCTGATGCCGCTTAGCGCTGACCGCCTCGTCGACAATCCTGAGTACATGGGAAATGGCAAGATTTCTCCGTCCAAACCGCAGGTAAGAGGAACGGTATCTAAGGGGGCCCAGAAGGGTAGAGGAGAGAGCAGTTAAAGGGGCCCAGAGAGGTAGAGGAGAGAGCAGTTAAGGGACCCCATAGAGGTAGAAGAGAAGGTAGTTAAAGGGAGTGAACCTGTGAATTTAATTGAAGGAAAAAAGTTAATGAAAGTTATTTAAAAAATCTAATTGTATATTGCTTTATTATTATTATTAGTAGTAGTAGTAGTAGTAGTAGTAGTAGTAGTAATAGTATATTATTATTATTTTTATTATTTTTATTATTAGTATTATTATTATACCAAAAGTATCAGGGCAATTATGCAGCTACCCAAGACTATATAAAGGGTTACATAGTTTATATATATATATTCTATGTAACATTGACAATTTAGTATGTGACTAAAAATGCCCATCTCAAAATGCAATTAATCATAAGTGAGCATGTGACCCATTGACAGCACAGGCAAGCGTTCTGGATATTATGAGCATGTGGACATTATGAGCATGTGGACATTATGAGTATGTGGACATTATGAGTATGTAGACATTATGAGTATGTGGACATTATGAGTATGTAGACATTATGAGTATGTGGACATTATGAGTATGTAGACATTATGAGTATGTGGACATTATGAGTATGTAGACATTATGAGTATGTGGACATTACGAGTATGTGGACATTATGAGCATCTGGACATTATGAGCATCTGGGCATTATGAGCATGTGGATATTATGAGCATGTGGACATTATGAGCATCTGGACATTATGAGTATGTGGACATTATGAGCATGTGGACATTATGAGCATGGCCAAGTACATCATACCTTATTTTTTTACTAACACATTTAGGTACAACTGCCTTTGTGAAGCTTCCCCTAGACTCATAGAGTTTTTTTTTTTTATTAACATATTAGGTA